AATATGAATAGCGAGTTCTAAGCTAATGAGATAATTTCCTTTTTCAAGCATCTCACAAGATTTATCCAACTGAAATTTTCGTACGATGCTTAGGATCGGAGCTGAAATAACTGTCCATATTCCAGGACGCGAGTTATAAGTTATAGCTTCTGGACGTCAGTTATACCTTCTAGAGTTATAAGCGAGATAGACGCACAGACAAATTCTTCATTTTATTATTATAGTTCATGGTTAGCAGTATGAGTTATAATACTTTAAGAACAATCCACTCTGAAGTCATCAAAACAATTTTCTTGAAGTTTCTCCTGTGCCTTCTGGCAACACTTAAAAAAAAAAACAATTAGTTGATTCTGTAGAGTAGAATAGTTAACACACTCACAGTAACATATAGTCGGACAGGCTCTGAGTGTGATTACTTCTCTAAAGTTAAGTTTTTTTTTGCTTCATTCCATTAAAAATCACCAAATAAAAATAGGATCGTATAAATATATGATAGTGTTTAAAATTTTTTTCACGTTGTATAGTTATGTAGAAACATAAATTTTTTGAAGTTATACTTGTAGTAGTCTTGACTACTCTTGACTAAGAAAAATAATCTAAATAAAAATGTATATTTTTAAAAACCACGTTTTTTGTAGTGAAGAATAATAATTGAAAAGTAATAATTTTTAAAAAATATAAAATAAAAATTTAAAAAATTATAATCTAAAATAAAAAAAATCAAAATAAAAAATAATATTTTTAAAAACTACGTTTTTGTAGTGGAGAATAATAATTAAAAAAAAAANTATAACAATTGTAAAAAATGCGTGAAAACAATCCCACGGACAATGCGACGGATTTATAAGGTTATGTGAAGGTACGTCTTTTGTGAATATCAATTGATTGTTAGGTTTTCTATTCTGAAATTACATTATGACGCAGTCACATACATTATTAATGCAAATACATTTTCAAGGGCGAGACGATGAGGCAACCACAAGCACTTCCACTGGTTCAAGAGATCCACGAGAGAAAAATGCACAATATTACCGTGATTACAGAGCACAGAAGTGAGCGGAGCAGGAAAAAGAGTCGTTGAATAGAACTAGTGATCCTTCTACGACTGCTGATTCTTCTACAATTAACGTCGCAGGTTGCGAAGTTTAACTTCTTCCGCGCGGAGGGACTCCACGCACTATTTTTTTTTATTTAATTCAATGCCATTTATTTTCGATTTTTGTTGCTTTTTTTTTTTTTTTAAATTTTTTTTTAAAATTTTTTTTTAGTTATTTAGCCATTAATTTTGCTCTGTATATTAGTGTCCGCCAAACTTAAGAACTCTTTCCACCTGTGGTCTCGGGCCGCGGTCGTTAGCAGAGGTCAGCGAAAACATTATTAATGAACGAGAATTTTTACCTTAACAGAGCCAATCATTAATGTCAAGTTAACATTGAACTAATACATGGATTGACTGGTACCCATCTGACAATGCCTCTAATATGGGTGTCGCTCAGTCGTAAACTTAGAAGCTGGTTGATAGAATATGGTAAGTTCATTGATTTTTAAAATTCCATTTTTTTAGGAGAATTTTAATCAAGAGGATATCAGACAGAATGTAACAACTCTTGCAGATTTGCAAGAGTCATTGTTTCAATCTTTCGTTCATTATTATCCGAAGGAAAATGATCCAAGGATTGGAAATTTGTGGATTAACAATCCATTCGTGGACATTGAAAAATGCTTATAATGAAAACTTAATGACATCCGACGCCAACCTCGAAGTTAAATTTTGACATACTGCTAAAAATGAATGTCCAATCTTAAGTCAAAAGGTTGTTAAATTATTATTGTAATTCACAATAACGTATTTGTGCGAAGATTAAAAAGAATAATAAAAAAACCGTGTATAACTTTTTTATAACAATTTTTAAACACGCTGAAACATGTCAATTTTGTTTGGTGAGAGACAATTAAAAATCTTAATTTTTAATCGGCTTAAAAATTTTTTCCCTTAAAAGAAAAAAAATGTAGGTCTGCGGGATTGAATATTTTCTGCTTGAGATCTATCATCTGCAAGGGGTCAAAAGTGTGGAGAACTCTGGTCTGGAGCATATTTGCGTCTGTGAAGTTGAACTAGTACTTCTAAAGGGTATGTCAATACATTTTAAATGACAAAATACAAAATTTGAAACATTTCAATCGAAAAGTTCTTGAAAAATATAACTTTATTTTATTTGTTTATTTATTTATTTTTTTCAAAATAGAATTTGTTTTTTTTTTTAATGTTTTTTTAAACTGTTTGACTGATTTAATTTAAATTCTGTATTTTGGTTTGAAACTTCATAGTTTAAAATTGTGTAAGCGTTTGTATACAAAATGCATCTTTAGAATTCAAAAAATAATCGATTATCGTTAATTAAAATAATAAAACTTAATAATTGCTAAAAAATATTTTTTTGCGTGGAATTAGTTGTGGATAAACGAATTTTATAATTATGTGAAAAGTTTTTCCAATTCGCTTAACAAGTTCTTGACGTATGGGTAAATACAATCTTCTGCCTTAACTAAAGGGACCATATCCCCCCCCTCCCACTATCCAAACCCGTCGAAAAAAGGATTTTGAGAAAGTATATTTTTGTTTCCAATTTAATAACTGAATTACTTGATAGCACCAATTAATTATCATATTTGAAGTCACCACTTTTAACCATTAATAGTGGCACATAGTTAGTGAAAATCCATTCGTAAGAGCGAAAGATCTTTATAATGACATTTTTCTTTCGCTTACCGTGCATTAAATACTTTAAGTATAATAGGATTAAAAAAAAATTATTTACAATTTTTCATTAGAATATTTTGACAATAATGTAAATAATTATTTCATGGAAGCAATTGTCTAGGAATTATATTATTTTTGTTATTGTCAACAATAACAATTCTTGAATTCTGTGTAACTACTACTCTTTTGTTATTTTCAAGGCATCAAATGTTTTTATTTATATCAATTTTTAAGACAAACATGAATAATTTACTCATATTTTATGTATTTCCTTTTTATTGTGTATTTCGTTTTTATTATGTAATTCGTTTTTATTCTGTATTTTGTTTTATTGCTTCGTTAGAACCTATCTGAAACAAACTAAGTGATATTGCGATTACTGATTCAAGAATTATTTATATAAAGATTTATTTTTGATTTATTGAAATATTTTTGCCAGTATTCTTGAAGAAGTTATTGTTTACTTTACCCCATAATATTCCTCTCCAGAGGTGGGGGTTAATTAATACCTTACCCCATAATGATTCCGCTTTCTTAAATTTTTTTTTTTTTTAAAAATTCTGAAACTGAAGTTTTTCATTAAAGAGTCATTTAATTTTTTAGATGATTTAATTGTTATTAACACATGTATAGCAATAATAATATGCAATGTCTATTATGATAATTTTCTTATAATTTTTTCTATGATAATGGTACATAAAAATTTTCTGGTTGAAAAAAAAATTAGTAAAGCAATATGATAAAAAAATGCAAATAAAGCAATATGATAAAAAAATGCAAATAAAGCAAATAATAAAAAATAAATTGTTTTTACTTTTTTAACTATTATAAGCAGCATTATGTTCTTCACTATGGGTTGCGACCTGCTTAGTGGGTCGTATGTCACTTTTTGGTAGTTAACGATAATGCGGTTACTAAAAATTCAGGGAGTTACTAAAATCCAGGGCTTAACTAAAAATCCAGGATGAACTTCTTGTAAGCTTCATTAAAAAGATTGTCTTTTTTTTTTGTAAAATTATATTTTTGAGTACAATTAATTTTTTACTTATCATAACTGTTTTATGGTTTGTGAGTTTAATAACTTGTGAGTGTGACATTGAATTACAGTAAAATACGTATTTAATAAATTTGCTTATTCAAATAATATATGAAAAATACTGAAGAAAGCTTTAAAGTGTATAATTAAAATTCGTGGAATAGTTTTAAATAATTTATTTCTGCTTTTTTATTCAGGATAAAGATGATAAAGTTGTAATACTATTCCATTTCGCAATTAAAATAACTATTTTAATTCTGTGTCATGCCTTTTTAATTCTTCAATCACGTATCCATAACATTACATTACTGATTCATAAATAAAAATAATTAATTTTCGCTATTATTCGTTAAATAATAATTCCTAATTTTGAAAGAAAGTGAGCTGTTCATTTTAAAAAATCAGTGAGTCAAGAATAAAAATGAGGGACTATAATTTACGGCTATAAAGTGGGTCGCAATGTTTAAAAGTTTAGAAACCCCAAACTGAGATCATCGAAATTTCACCAGAAATAAAATTTGGGACGTTCTTGCTCTTTCATTTAAATCTTTGGTCAATAGCAACGAGCTCCTTTTTTACAAGTCCCGCATTGGACTGATCGTAAAGACAAGGTTCCCAGTAGAACACCAAAGTCAAGCATCACTGGCTACGGTCAGGAAGCAAGTGGGTGGTCACTTTGATCAGCCCGAGTAGGGACTGAGGGTGCGCGGTATCGGTTCTCGTTAAACTGTTCTACCGTAAAGTGCAAGCATTACAGGTCTAAATTTTTTCAAGTGCAGGTCGTCGGGGTACTAAAGTAAGGGAGTCATCCCGTCTGCAGAGTCAAAAAATTTCGATGGCTTGTCTGCGGATCATCCTCAAGTATGTTTTCCAGACCGTCGCCAATAGCTCATTTTCTAGCTCTAATGAGACGTAAATAAAGTACCTTTTTTTACATCAATAATAATAAACGTTTCGGTATAATTTTTTTTAAATAATAATTCCTATTATTGAAAGAACGTTATCCGTCTTAAAAATTCAATGCGCCGAGAATAAAAATGGGTCGCTATAATTTATAGATTCCGCTTTCTAAGAAAGTGGGTCGCTATGTTTAAAAGTTTGGAAGAAAGATCTTAGAAATTTCACCAAAAATTAAATTTGGCGCCGTTTTTGTTCTTTCATTAAATCATAGGTAAGATAGCTGATAGCCGTCACGCTCTGCAAAATATCTTTCACCGCATTTCGGCGTTGGCGATGAAAAGAGGGAGTTCATTGTGGTAACCCTAATTCTGAGTCTCAATGTGCGGTGTGCAGGAGTGGTGTTGTGATCTATGATATTAAATTTACGACGAAATATCATTACGACAAGGATTTTAAAAAAACTTTTCGAAGCCTTGGACATAAGTTAGCTTTATTCGATATCTTTTTATCCTAAACTTTGTACAGGTGAGTCCAATATCTTTATGTTTGGAAAATTTTGAATGGCGCGATTTTTTTTCTTTTTGGCTGTTATTGCAATAGGCTTAGTTGCGCCATGTTTGGTACGTGTAATGGAAAGATCTGGGTGGGATACATAATATGATTGAAAATCATGAAAGAAAATAAATCTCCCGTAATATTTTTTATGAATTATTGTCTGAAGCGCCGCTTAAAGCTATGCTGGATTGCAAGTTCAGTTATAAAATGGCGGTGCGGGCCAAATGCCACACCCCCTTAAAATGTAAATATGTTTTTGCCGCCGTCAGAATGCAGTGTTTTTCTTACGTTTCTTTATCTCATTTAATTACATCAGGTATTCTAATTGAATGTATGGAAGCTATTGGAATCACTAATGAAATCTACCGTATTTTCCAAAATAATTTTTTAATTTTTCAAAGAATTAATGGACATTTTGATATTTCTCGTACCTTGTCTACCCCAATTACCTGAGTTATATAGTGTGTTTATTTATTTTATTTGCTTTCTTAAATTCTTCTACTGTACATATTGGATTATTTGTGTGCTATTAGTTGAGATTGCTGATAATTTATTAAATATACAGGTTATACCCAATTAATTCGAATTACATATTTGCACTCAATGAGTATGTTTAATTTGATTAAAAAATAAAAAGAGTTTAGATTTATCTGTATACATTTCTCATGATCCTTATTTGTAGAAAATAAAATATTACAGTTTTGGTATTGAGTTACAGTTTTAATATGTTTAATTCATTTTGTTCCAATTGTATTAGTTCTTATATACAATGGTGTACTAATTTAAATTTTTCGGAAATCATTTAGATTTTTTTTGTTCATTAAATGGAACAAGATTATAAAATCAAAAATGGTTAACACTGTTTTTCGAATTGAAATTTATATATATAATAAATTGCTGAGTTCTCCCTAGAAATAATAAAAGGGCAGGGTGCTTCCTCACAGAAAATGGTTTTGAAAGGACACTCACTTAAAAATTTGTCAAATGTGTAATATATCAAATGTGTACTATGTAATTAAATGTGTAATAACTAAAATTAATCCTCAACAATGTTTAAATTACCCTCTTATACTATTTTATGTGTGTGTTTGAAAAAGTAATATTTACTAATTATCAAAACGATAATTAAGCAAAAAAATTATAATAGTATTTAAATAATCAAACAATATTTAAAGACATCTTAAAAAAAAATTTGTCAAACCAAATTGGTTCAAAAAAATAATAATAATAAAGCTTAAATCTATATTTTAAATTGATAAATAATGTGAGATCGTTGTTAATAAAGAGGTGCAATGTTTTTGAATTTTTTTGATCTGTGAAAGTCAAACATTGAACAAGTCTCAAAATGATCTGATTGTCTGAATTTTTATAATTCAAAATTTTCTTGGTAAATTTAATGCTTTAAAAATAAAAAGGTACATAATAATGAGTAGCATGCCTTTTGTTAATTCATGCTTTCCAAGATTATTTCCATTATTTTTTCTTACCCCAATTTCCATTTGAGATCAAGATATTTACACTATTATTACTGATTTAGAAATGCTTACTATTTGACAAATTTATATTAAATGCTAGTTTTAACTTTAACCTTTTAGTAGCCTTTCAAGTGCTAAACTATTGTATGTTTTTGCTGTTGATAAAATTTATTCCAGTATCTAAAAATCACGAGAGGGAAATATTTACAATAAGCAATGTCTTTGTAATTAAAATTATTATTGAGTGTATTCTCAAAATCATATTTAACCATTATTCCTCAGTGTATTCACAAAACCATATTTAACCTCAAAACCATTATTCTCAAAATTGTATTTAATAAGTCATCGTCACGGTTCATCTAAACATATTGTTTTTAAAAAAAAGCAATTTGTGTTCTGTAATATTTCATTGAGTGATTAACAATTGATTTTTAAAAGGAGTGATTGAATGGAAATTTCCATCAAAATTATTTATTTTAAATTCATTCTCTATTGGACCCTGTGCATTAGGTGTTCAACATAGTGAATGTATATCTGTTAATCTTCTGTGCTTACTGTATCATGTTGAAAACTTTTTTTTTCTCATGCAACTGTTTTATCAATCCATTGTTATGCTATGCAATTTCTAAGCTAAGTAATTCTTGGTTCAAGTGTCAGTAGTTATTTGTAATTTAGCTAGATGTTTATTTGCGTGAAAATGAAGGAAAGCACCAGAAAAGTCCTACTGACTTCCCCTCCTTCTTGAACCTGATCATAGTGAGTAAAGCTTGTCTTCTACGGGCAATCTTTTACGTTGCTACTCTTTGCTGTGTGGGTTACTTTCTTGTTATAATGCATTACGAAATATTCTTTGAAAAGTAACCGGAAAACAAATTCGATACTTTTCTGACTAAATGTGTTAGATGAATTTTAAAGATATACTGGCCAAATAAAATCGCAGTGACCTCCATCATAAAAACAAAAACTAAATCCATTGTAGAAATGAAAAAATGAAGATGGTCTTGGATAGGATACATACTAAGAATGTCCTCAAAAGACCCAACTAAAAAAAAAGGTGCAACGTGGGAGCCGGAAAGAAAATGGAAAAGTGTCCGGCCAAAACTAACTTACAGACAAATGATAATAAGGGATATATCCCTTATTATCATAGGGATATAATAATAAGGATGAGGGATAAACCTTCATAATATCCCTTATTATCATTAATAAGGGATATATCCCTTATTATGATGAAGGGATATAAATAGGGATGAGGGATATATTACTTATTATCATTAGTAAGGGATATAATAATAGGAATGAGGGATATATCCCTTATTAATGATAATAAGGACTGCTGAATTTGTGGCCTCTTGTACCACCTGGTGTAAAGAGAACTCAGTAATCTTTGCGGCAAAAAATTAAATAAGAATTTAAAAAACAAGCTCATAGATGCCGTTGAAAATGGTAACCAAGCAAAATTATTCTGTCCCAATAGAGTGGGAAATTTAAATCTATGCTTTGAGATGTTTTAATTAAATTGTATTCAATTTTGTTGTACATATATATTTATTATTAAGGCACAAAAATGATTGCTTAGTAGCAGTTATAAGGTTGGTAAGCGAAAGCCACTCTTTCAGTAATATTGATTTAACAAGAACAGCATTATGAAAAAAAAAATGCAATAAAGAGTTCAGCAAATAATATTTTTTTACTTAGTCGTATGTATTGTATTTTTGACATAAAATAAAAAAAATATTGCACGCATTGTCTTATTAATAGAATTAAGTTTTTTTCTGTTTTCACTATAACTTACTCACATAATTACTTTTTTTAATAAATCAATTAACTCCATCTATGTTCTAAACAAATTTTTCTTAATATTTTAGAAAGAAAAAAATATTTTTTGTTTTCAATAAGGCAAATTATTTAAATCTTATAACAATCGAATTGGTACTTCAGCATTTTAGAATCTTAATTCATAAAAGTTCCGAAACTTTCTCAAATATGACTTCAGTAGAAAGATTGGGAAAAGCATACAGCATACTATTCTAAAACTTCTTCAAATACATTTCTGAAAAGTATATTTTGGTAGTACAGAACCCGTTATCCGGAAATCAGAAAACCGGAAAACCAAAAAACCAGAACGAAATTCGATAAATTTTCCCGCCATTTTTTAAATTTTTTTTTTTCCGCTGAAGATTGTAGGATTTTTCTTTCTTTTTTGAAAGATGTTCACCTTACTATCATTTTGGAAATAATCATTAGTGTATTACTTCATCGTTTTTTCTTCTTTTTAAGATTATTTCCAAATTTTTTTTAGTTGGGTTTAACAATAAAAAAACGTCTTTTTGTAGCGATTCCGAAAACCAGAAAAATCAGTTATCCGGAATAGCGATGTTCCCGATCGTTCCGGATAATCGGTTCCCTAGTGTACTAATTTTTGCATTTAGTACTTTAGGATCTAATTTATCCAGAATGTTTTTTCATAAAGTTTTACATAAGTTTAACTGTTAATGTTTTATTTTATTATTTTTTTTAAACGCCTCTCTTTAGAATCTAGTGGCAACAGCATTGATATATATTTTCCTTTCTGTCTTGAGAACAATTTCAACAAAATGGATTTGCTAATGATTGATTGAATTTGTTTATGATGATTGATTAACACTTTTTAACTGCAACTTGTCATTGTTAATGTAGTCATTCTCAATCATATTACTTGTTTCAATAGCTGAAAAAAGTACTGCTTAATGAAGATTTAGTGTTTGGTTTCAACTACTCCTGTGCTATTCGTTATGAATCATTTGTCCTTGTTTTTACTGAAGGCCACCAGTGCTTATTTTTGTTAGATTATGTATTTAAATTATTTTTTGTTCCTATGCCTTTTCAGTTAAAAATAGAATTTAAAGTGAAAATTTTTGTATTACTTTTGCTTAAAAAAAAGACAAAAAAGTAAAGAAAGAAATGTTATTGATGTATTAATCCGATATTCCTATTACATCGTCAACACGTTTATCAAATTATGGAATATTTTGCATAACATAGCATATTTTGCATAATAATTTATGTAAATTTGAGGAAACTATTGGTTATCATTAGAAGGCATTTCTTTTTTGTACTTCTTGAAATCTTTGTATGTTATAAAAGTATACATTGTTATAAAAGTATACCAAATGTATACATTGTAATTTTTTTATATTATCTGATCATGCACTTCGTGTATTTTGCTTGAAATATTTCAAATTTCCAATAGTCGGGTTGCAATCAGTAAAAAATGCAAACATTTTCTTACAAAGTTTTTTTATTCTCTTTGATAAGTGCTTATAAAGATTTTTTTGTGTTTTATGTATGCTATTTAAATATATTCTGTAGACTGACAAAATACTTAATGACATTTACTTTTTGTAATATTTTAAAATGACTATAATGGGCAAAGGAACTAAAATTGGAGTTCAATTATCTATTACATTAACCCCTTGTGCTTGTAAAATTCCTTGAAAATGACATATTTTTTTT